TGTGTGTGTGTGTGTGTGTGTGTGTGTGTGTGTGTGTGTGTGTGTGTGGAGAGGGCGGTTTCATGGGAAAACAAATGTGATGAGTCAATGATAACTCTCTGGAGGAAACACGAGCATAGAGAGTAAAAAACAATCAGCTCAGTCCACGCAGCACAAAGGGTTAAGAGAGATGATTATTTGAAATGACTTTCATTTCAGAGCTGTATTATCAAGCAACATGTGTCAACAAAGGTTTTATCAGAAAGAGAAAAAATAAAACCTTCTCTGCCTCCGCAGACATAACAGCGGCCTCTTTCTGAGGTCTCGTGTTCGGAGAGTCTCATTTCCTGCTGAGGCGGAAGTGGGGCTGTTCACAAGAACAAACTAAAACCTGCAACATCTTGTCTTGTACGTAAGGCTGGATGTACGGAGTCTGGAAGTGTTGAAAGCTCACAAGATGCCAATCAAAAACAACTTCCACTTTAACTGTGAGGGATCACCGTCTGGGTGTTAAAGTTTGGGGTGTGGTGGGAATGGTACAGACCAGCGCGCGCACACACACACACACACTTGTTTTTGTATCCTTGTGGGACCCGTCCATTGACTTCCTTTCATTTTTTTGGCAATTTTATATTCTAGCCCTGACCACAAACCCTAAGGCTAACCTCACAGGTACCTACCTGACCCTAAAACTAACCTAAACTCAATTYACACCTTGGTCCTAAACCCAACCCCCACACCCAAAATCAGCCTCCGAAGTTATCCCCACGATGCTGCATTTTCCTTAAACATGGGCCCCACAATGTAGGAAAAACAAGGCCACACACACACACACACACACACACACACGCACGCACGCACGCACGCACACACACACACGCCCCGTCAAATGCATTAACCAAAGTAGAGGATGATTATGCATCTGCAGCACTAAAAAAACCACTGAGTTTTTAATGTTTGCAGAGGCTGCACCATCCTGATGTTCCTGAGTTCAATCACATGACAGGAAAATTAAACATGTGCTTCATTTCTTTAACTATCTGCTCTGGTTAAAGCACACAGACGTCCCTATTTTATAATGTTTTCATCATTAACTATACTAAACGCCACAAAGCCTGTCGCCTTTCATGTAACGGTTTTAGATTAAATTAATCCTATTATTCAAACACAGTTGCTGTTTTAGGATTCAAAAGTTAATTGGTCATAGAGTTACGTCAAATGATTATTTCCTGTACGATTCAAGAAAATCCGTCCAGTCACAAAACATTTTACTGGCCGACTCCAAATAGTTAAAATCTAAATTTCAGACAAGGTTTCTGGAACTGTTTAGAGTGCTCAGATTATGCTCTGGTGCTCAGTCGCAGCTGTAAAAACACCAAATTTTACATCAGTGTCTGTAAACATTAATGGCGCTATAGCCATTTTTGTGTTTTTCAAGATAAGCGACCTGTAGCGGCCATCTTGATTCGACTTGACTTCAAACATTGACAAGCGGTCGATGCACACTTAGTGATTGTTCTCTACAAAGTTCAATGAGATTAGTTCATTGGTTTATGAGATATTTTGTTAACAGAAACAGGGAAATACTGTCCTGGTAATTAAAACATTTAATCGATTTTTACRTCARTAATTACTGAACATTTAAACAAAACTAAACCTTTTTATCCAGAAGAGAATATACTGACATGACTGTCATTTCGGCAAGATTTCTGGTCATAAAAGTATCTAAAACATTTTAAGCAGATGTGTATTTACTGCTGTGAGTGACCTACATTGCAGATGTTTTTATCCCTTTTGTGTCACCTTTTTTCTAACATGTTTCGTATGGTAAATCAAAAATGGATGCTGGCAGTTTGATCGTAATCAACAAAATTGAAACAAAAGACTCACTGTCTCATTTTTACTGTTTTGTCCAGAGATGAGCTAAAATGTCTGCAGTCTGTGTGGTTTTGTTGGTTCTAGTTTGTGTTAGTCTGTGTAAAACTACAGGACTGGTTGGCATTTTATCCTAAAGCAGTGACCTTTTCATCACTCTTGTGTTTTGTGTGTTTCTCAACAGATGCACTTGGTGTGTTGGGGGGTTTTCAGCTCAGATGTTGGGCTCCTCCTCCTCCTCCTCCTCCTCCTCCTCCTTTGGATTTCTTCAGCTCAGGGCGGGGTAGTATGCGCCTGTGTGCGTTCATGCGTACATGCCATCATGTGTGGCGTGGTCAGTCGGAGAGGCGGAGACAACAAAGGACTCCACTTCCTCACATATCTCTTTCAAAGGCAGAGCGGAGGACGCCACCTGTCGATGAGCAGCCGCCACGGAGGCGGCGTGCTGGTAAAATTCCACTCCCACAGATGAGGAAGAGGGCCCACATGTGCAAACAGGCCTCAGTGAAGTGACTTGATAAGAAGAAACATTTTTTTCCCCCTTGGGAATTCCACTTGTGTGGTTGAATAAAAATGTGAGAGCTTGTTGTGTTTAACGGCTGCGAAATTTTATGTGTGATTGGAGAAAACGACACGCACACATCCCAGTTTTTTCTGTAGTTTTTCTTTTTTTTTTTTTGTTGAAGTACTTCTGCAAACTTTATGCTATAATTAATGCTAGTCATTAATTTATCAAAATGTTCAGCTCATTGAGGAGATGGCTGCCAGGACTTATGGTTTTTGCAGCTTTAATACTTTTTAAAACAGTTAACTTGATTTAGTGCTCTTGCCTTCAAAGAAACACACTGAGATCTCTTCATTTTTGTTTCAAAACATCAATCTCGTAAAAATTAGCTTCAACAGTGTTGCTCTTTTTTTTTTTTTTTTTTTTTTTTTTTTTTTTTTTTTTTTTT